AAATGCAAATATATTATTTCTGAATTTACTAGCGTGAAACGGGCCTGCTCAATTTGTAATGTACCCATATCAAGAGCATTGACAAGTTTTTGCATTTTAGGGCGCGTTTAAAAAGATATATTTTATTCTCGATCTAGCAAAATATGTTATTTTAGGACAGGCAGTCAAAGACTTGAACAGTAAACCACAATAATGTTTATTTCCCTCACTAAAAACACTTTGGGGGCATTTTATTATCTTTTAACTGCAAAGATTTTCGTTTAAAAACCGCAATAACATTCTATCGACCTGCTAGGGAAATTTATACTAGTGCGATTGGTTTGAGTATAGTTTGGTGTAATTAGGAAAGAAAAAACTAATTAGCGAATTAGAGTGTTGTGCAACATTCCGAAAAACGATAATCGATACATAGAGCTGTCCAGATACACGAACCGTTCGCGGTAGTCATTACATGCACAATTAAAATCGAATCCCTTTATAATCAGTGATAGGAAAATTAGCAAAAGAATACTCGAACACCCTAACTTGATTGGGTGGAGTGACACATTAAAAATTATAGTTTATAGTTTAATATGTGTTATTGTTCAGCTTTTAGTGATCTAGTGACCAGAATTTCGGTTAGCCACCGGACCTACCCTCATTTTTTGAAATGATAACTATAGATTTTAATCTAAAAAAATATCATATAAGATTCTCTTTTAAAAGTAACCTGCAAAAAAAATTCCAAAAAATTAATACAAGTTCAAAAAGGTTAAAAAAATGTTAAAATTTTAATTTTTTTTATTAGCATAGATAGGGAGTTGGTTAAATGGACAAAATGATCCTGGAGTTATGCCTAAAGAAAATCAAGAAACAGAATTACCCCCTATCTACAGTTTCCAAAATATGGGGAAAAATAACATAATTGACGTTTTTGATTTCTGGCTTTAAAGCGTTATTTGGGGAGATATTTAAAAACTAAGTTTAAACTCAGGTTTTTCATTAAAGAAATTCGATTCTTCATAGACAAGGATCTGTCAAATGTTACTCAAAATGTTTTTCTTTGACTTTTGAACTTGTTGTGATTTTTATAAACGTTATACCTGATAGCACAGGGCCTATCCATCGTTTTATATGGGTAACGTTCACCAAATCAGATATAAGCCGAAATTTGGCAAGGTACTTTGTTATGAGGGTCTAAACACCCTCTGGAACCGAGGGATTGTGCCCGTGACCCCAAAACCACCTTCTAAGTGGGATAAAATCTAACTTGTTTGAAATTTTTCTTAATAACTCTAAAACTAAGGATTCTAAGAAAAAACGTCGAATTTTTTAGATGTTCAGTGGCGCAGATTTCAGCATCTCATTCAACTACTTAATCGAAATACTATAGTAGATATTTCCTAATATTATAAAATAATATAAAACGCAGGAATCTGTTCACTTAGGTTGCATACATAATTGATGAATTCAATACTCCTTGCCCCAAAAATTAAGTACTATTTTGTGGAGGATTTTCAGCGAAATGCACCAAAAGGCAAATTGCGAGTTAACGGGACGTCGGAAGTGGGAACCTACAAAAGGAATGTGGTTGTCCCCGACAAGATCTCACTGCTGGTAGAGTACAAAACTACACACCCGAACTGCGGGAGAATGGACGTCGGAAGTGGGTATCGACAAAGGGAATGTGGTAGCTCCCGAGAAGATCATACTGATGGTGGAGTCAAAACTTGATAAAACAATACTGATCTGCCATACAAAAATGGGCTGAAGTCCCTTCGATGGAGGACTTTGATAATTTTTTATTAATAGTTATTTACATAAAAGTGAAGAAAATGATACATTACTGGTGAGGAAGTACTGAAGTACGAGGCCCCAATCACTTTAATTTCCGAGTCAGCTAATGGCATTTTACTGACGAGTTTTGTATTAAGTTTTGCCTGAAATCGTCTTTTAAAACAAAATTTCAATTTTTATAAATAACTTTTGATTAATGTCAATCTGTCAGTGATGACAGAAGTCATTATAGACATTTGGAAACGACAGGTGACAGGTGCGGCCAGTAAAGTGACAAGCGGCAGAAAACGTAGTCTGCTCTGCCTCTGTCATGGAAACTAAAATTTCCTGGCAGAAAGGCATGAAAATGAAGGTTTCAGGACGATTTTGGGTAAATCGATTTTACCCAAAATCAAGATCATTGGATTATTTTAATTTATTTATTATTTTATTTATTTCTTGACATATTTGACATATTTATGGTGTTTATTAAACATGCGGCAAAAATTTAAGGGGCTATTCCTTGGCCTATTCTAAGGATATTTTGTCCTTCGATGATTTTTGATATGGCGCTTTTTTTTCTCAAATTTTCTACATGTTCCACTGAAGTAGTATAAATACTAATGACTTTCGGTGGTCCCATAGGAAATAATCCAGGGGGTTTAAGTCAAATTAGTATTTAAGTCAAATAGATAAATGAATCAGTTTCAACGGCTACGTTACTAATTTTAAAATTACCTAAATTGGATGGTCGAAATTCTTCTTAAGAAACGCCCTGTATAATGGAACAATATTTTTCGAAATAATTTTTTTCTAATTTGTTCAATTTCGCTTTAAAACTTGGTTTGAATTTCCAATTGAAGTTCCAATTCATTTCCTTATTGTCGACAGTGTGAGAAGAATAATGTTCACTGATCGAAGGAAATTGTAGGCGTCAAGGAATTTGTAACGTACCACATAATCGCTTGTAATATTACGAGTGCATTCATTATAATCGAATATACTGTATTGGGCACGAAACGTATTTTTGGAAACACCACTTGTCCGTGGTGTTCCCAAAAAAATACGTTGAGTGTATCAATACAGTATATTCTGATTCAGGTTGAGTTATTATGGCTCTAAGGAGGGATTGACGGAGATTGTGCTTTTGCACAACATTATGGGCGAATATTGTGAATATTTAAAAAAACATTTTGAATTGTACAGAGGAGTGTGATCACAAAGTAGGGGGCTACATTTTTTTCAAGGAAATATATTATATGAAGCCTAAAACCAAAATTTTTGAAGTAATTTTAACAATAGAGCAAAGGTTTGGAATTGCGGTTTTTTTAAATTAACTTTTTCGTTAGTTTTATATAATTATATTTGGAACCGTATACAGGATGTTCCATTTACAAACTTTACGGTGCCGTACTTTGTGACCACACCCCGTATAATTTAAAATATTTTTAAAATATAAAAAGTTCAATTTTGATTAGTCCATCCTTAGGGCCATAACAGCTTTACGCGCAATCAATGACCCACCCTGTACAGCACCTTGTACTACATTCTCTTTTGTGGCAGTAAGAATGCATCCGAACATTCTACCCACAGTAAAGTGATTACGGTATACTGACAATAAGAAACTTAAATCGCCATTTACGTCATTTTTGTAGAAATACTTTGCTCTATTAAACGTTAAAGGCGCCTAGTGGAAAAGCAATGATGAAATACTGATGAGCATCTTTGAAGTTATAGTTCTTTAAAGGGAAAAGTTTACTCGGGCTTAAAATACCTTTCCTTGAAGGTAGGGACATGTGTTAGAACGACAAGAAGTAAAACTTGGAACTGCTTTGAGTGTTTCTGTATAGTTTTCTGCTTCTTTGCTCGTTTTTATCGAACGACTCGTTTGAAATACGAAATTGTACAAAAATCGCCAGCCTTTGAGTTTATAGTTACGGTAAGGGTTGATTTATGTAGGTTGACTATAATGTTTTACTACTTTCGCGAATTTGCATTTTATACTGGCGAGTTACGTATATTCGCATTCCCACAATTGTTCGTACCACTCTTTGTCAGTTAAGCAGCGTTTTAATTATGTCCCTAGTACTATTGCAGAGAAGATTGTCAACGAATTAAAGCTCGAAAGTTATTGTGTTATAGAAAGCGGCTGTGCCTAAAATTAGGAATGGGAATATTCTGTATATTCCAGCAAGGTTCTTCAAAAAGTTGAGGTGCGGATGAAATAAATTGGAATTGGTAGATAAACAAACTGAACGTGCACTAAGAACGATAATCGACAGTGCAAGTTTTGACGTGTGTGAAAACGTAATCTTTGGATGATTTTCATGTTGGCAGTGGGGAAGGCCTACCTTAGTTATTAAAGGCAATTAAATAAAGCGTATTTATTAAACATTAGATTGAACATATAATGTGCGCACGACAACGACTAGTACAACAACATGACGGAAGTGACGTAAGTATTAAATTACAGGGTGTAACAATTCAAATGTGAATTATATCAACACTAACATTTCATATTAGTTTTAAAAATTTCAAGTTATAGTTTGATTTTTATTAGCATCTTAAAATGTTTTGCAATTTAAAGATTATTTTGGGGCGCATATTTTTCGGTGTGCCTAGGGGCGCAAAAAAATAAATCCGCCCTGCTTACACCTGTATAATGTACGAAAATTAGCTACTCTCAAAATGCCTACAAGTGAAAAATTAAAGAATTTAAAAAGCATTACGAGAACTCAGGAATTTTATATTCAAGTGAGTAATTCCAAAGTATTTATAATATTTTCAGTATTCTGCGTATTGCGACCTCCTATAGATATTTCGGGATATTTACGAATTTTAATAGCAGCTTTATTGTCCATAAATGATTATTCATTTGCCAGATGATTAACTTTCGACATATGAAGCTGCGGTTAAAGGCTATTTTAAATTTTGATCACTTTAAAATTACAAATCACTTCCGTTTTCACAGAAAGTGTGAATTTTACACAATTTACCCAATTTATAATGTTTCACCATAGAGCAGTGACTATTAATGGAAAACTTCAGATTGAGTTGATTATCTACAATTTATTAGTGCATATCAATTTTTCACATAACTGCATCATATACGCTCCACGGCTTATTTTTAAGCTAAAAATTCCTCCCACTGCTACCAATTCGTCTAAAGATAGAACGGAAACATCATTGTTGAAGACCTTACGGCAAAAAACAGTATTTCTATCGAATGGCGCTGCTTTATTTTCTTTCTAATGTCATTCGTCTGTTATTCACTCATATTGTCGTAAAGAAAATCTTTGTGTTTTTCGCGGCGGTACACTCGTGAAGCGGAAAAATTTCGCCTCTGAAAAAAGTGTATTATTGTGTATTAGGAGTGGTACGATACACATTTTAAGAAATGGTGAATAATGAGGTTTCTACCTATGGGTTATATTTTATAGGGAAAAAGTACTTTATATCCATTTAGGTTGGCTTCCTAGTTGAAATAAAGCTGTGATGATAAGAAACTCGTATTCTGCGTTCAAGAGTTGCGGTAGATGCGATTTATTAACATAAAATAAGAGTAAACAGGTCTTACTGCCGTATAATGGATGCCAAAACTCCACTTCGACTACTTTTTATAGGTAATCTTTTGAGGATTTGCAACCCAACGACCGTAATTAACATAGGTAAGCTTCATTTAAAAATACCTACAGTTTATTACCCGTTTTATTTGGCCAGACAGTGGTGTAATTTAAATGAAACTGAGATTGTAAGAGTTTTACTATTTCAATTCTAGAGCCGTTGCCGCATATGCATGTGGATTTAAAACTGTGCGCTTTCGTAAAGTGAATAGAAGTTTTTGACGCAGGTTTCATCTTCAAATTTGAAAAGTTTACTAAGTGTAAAATGGCAACTATTGGTCGAACTTCAGCATACATTATAACTGCTCAATTCAAACTTTCTCAGTGCTTCAATGTTGGTAATTACAACTGAAAATGTAGCTGATAAAAACCTTTAAGGGTTTGCTTTCATACAAAGAACGCCGACGAGAACATTGTGTCACATTCAGTTTTCTCATTGTTTACGTTGCGGACGAACGTGGTGGATACAAGAGATGTAAGTGGTGTCATTGTGTCTTAACCAACGTCATTCAGATACAGTCAGAAATTCTATATCGTAGGAAACATAAAAGGGGCGAACCGCTAAAAAATTGCAAAATGGAAAGCGGTTAGGGTTAAACTGACCCCCAATGAACTGTGTGGAAACGAAACAAGAATAGAATCAGAGGTACCGGTTGTCTTTCTGTGAGCAACAAAATTTATTATGTAAAAAAAAATGAAAATATACGAGGAGCAGTGTCTTCACAATGAAGGGAAAAAATACATTTACAACTCTGTATTCTGGAAAAATACATTTTATACAAGTTGTTTCAAGTAGGGAGTATGTCTAAAAGGAATGGCTGTATATTGTGAATATCTCTGGTATAACGTACCATACGCATCTTCATATGCAACGTCACACATGTGCGTCTTGCAATCAATTAACTTTCGCGATAACATTCTTTACCGCTAAACTACCAGATGTTTATTTCATCCTAACACGCAAATTCACAATTTAAATAAAACATATTTACACGAATGATAAAATTTGCACAAGAAATTATGCCATTAAAAACAGTTCTAAAATGGAAAAATTTACACTAAAATAACAAATTCTGATTAAATAAACCAATTCCATGTTTATTCGCAATGACATTCTCTAGATTTAAATTAATTTAACATATTTGCATATACATGGTGACCCGTTATCATCTTCGGTATTATTTCAGTGGAAATAAAGTCCACCTGGCCTTCTTTACGGAACAATATTTGTCAAATTTGCTACGGGTTTCGATATATAAAGACTACCAAAAATATTTAAAGAAAAATCAGTGTCAGACATTTGCTTGTTTTTCATAAAAATGGTTTAGCGTTAATTCTATTTTAATTTTATACATGATGTCGCAATAAGCCCGCTAACCTAGCCTGGGGGTCGACTCATCCTCTTACAAATTAAGTACCTTGAGTTCGTTCTTGCTTGCTACTAATCCACATACTTCAAAGTTGTGGTCAGTGATGGGATTTTTTGATACATATTCTTAAAGTGCAGACCTTTTTCGATATATAAACCTAAAAAATTATTGTATTACTCATTTCATAGAAAAATTCCGGAAAATAGTTTTTTGATTGGTTTTATAATTTTGCTAGTTTGCGTTAAAAGAACACGTTATTCTTTTGTTATTCATGTCAAAGCAATTTACGATTATCAAAAATGCTTTCAAAAAATTAAGTAATCTACATGATTAAAAACTATGAGGTTCAAGAATGAACTTTTTTTGAATATAGTTTCAAGTTTGTAGGTTTGTTCAAAATGTTTAAATAAATGTTTGATAAAACTAAGAAAAGATTAACATTATTTTCAATGCGTAACTAGTAAAATTATAAAATTAATTAATATAACTTTTCTCTAATTAGGGGTTTTCTCTTAAACTTGAATATGTAATAAATATAATAAGTTCTTTATGATTCTATTATATCCAAAAAAGTGCACTCTTTAATTGTCCAGGCTATTCGATTTTTATTCTTATTTTTGTGAAAAAAAAGTCATAGGGGTTTGAAATTTGACGTAACCATAGCTGGTTTTATGATAAAAAAAGGGAACAATTTTTTTGGGCCCGTAAAGTTGAACCGTTTTCGAGATCTCACAATTTCTGAAAAAAACCACCTCTTTTTCAAGAGTATGAAAAATCTATTTTTTTTAATCGTACAGAGGTGCGCGAGGTAGCAAAATTTTCGAGAACTCCTTGGGCAGATTTTTCGCTAATACTCCCATACATTTTGAAAAGGAAATTTTATTACAAAATTCTTTAGATGCCTTTTTCTTGAAATCCATTTTAATAATTCACATTTCCGGCTAAACGGCTGAAACGTTTGGAATCAAATTTGCTACACATATTCTTAAATAAAATATACATAAATAAAAGGAATAGCTGACAAGCTTTTGGGTAGATCGCGCATCCGAATCCCGCCCCAATAAAGAATTTGAATTTCTAAAGCAAATAATCAAATTCCTAAGATTACTTACACAAATTTTGATAATCCGTGAAATTAACTTTGGGTACAGATTAACAAAATTAATCATAATTAAGCATGAGACATTTATCTGGATCGCTAAAGGGTTCCATTGAACATACGATTTGCATGATTTCACACACAAAATTTTTATTTTACACACACAAATGGAAGTAATCGTAGAACCCTAACTATTAAAAATGGATTGCAACAAAGTCCGATTGCATACCCCGCATAAAACGTTCAATTACAATAAAACAAAATCAAGAAATCTTAAAATTTCAAAAAATCCGGGCACACAAAACTATTGAAACATCTGGACTAGACATATCTAATTGTAGGGTCAAATCTTTAAGTGCAAATGTGCCGAGAACAGAGAGATTTTTAAAGAGGTTTTAAAAAAAATGCACTTTATCTGCACAAGCGTTGTGCATAATTTGTACTTGTTTGTCAGTATTATGTACTTAAAACAAAATTATTCTTCTGCATATCATCTGCGATTTTACCAGTGTGTTAAAAAGATGAAACTTTAAAGCTGGTTTTAATAAATTTAATTCTAATATAGACGGCAGCATTGCCGACTTTCTTAGTTGTAAAGTTAAAAAAAAACAGTGAAAGTATCAAAACTGTCTGGCTACTAACGTCACGCAACCTAGTCTCGCGGAAGGGTACGATTTTGAAATGCTTTCAGCGGACGTAAATATCAATATTTTGCGCTCACATTTTTGCTATCGTTTTCTAATAACAAAATCTCTCAATAGGTACCAAAAATGTCGAACCTCCCTATTGAAATCTAAAGCATATTTTTTCTGCATGAAAAGAGTACTACTATAAACAAAATTGTGTATTAAATGGCAGGAGAAATTGCCGATCACTTATTACGGTTATAAAAAATGGAAGTATGAGATTATTGTCAGTGGTTAAAAGAAGGTAAAGAAAAAACATTGAAAGAATACGAAACCTCGCAATTGATTTAGGAAGTTCGAACACGTTCGAAAGATATGTGTTTGATTTGACACTAAAAGTTGGTTTGTGGTTTTCAATGCCTATAATGACAATTTCAAAATTGATTTATCTAACTCTTCGGACGTGGTTCCCTAGAAAATTTTATTTACCGTGTGATGTCTACATTTATCTTTTTTGTTGAGGTGTGAATATCTCTTTTTCTCCGATGTTTACGCCAATACGTTCCCCTTTTATTTATGTAAAAATATTGCGTTTAGATGTACACGTAACAAATGCGTCGCATGTGTTTCGGTGGAAGGAAAAATAATGCATTAATAATGTATTAATGTCACAAGGGAAACCTTTCATACGCTATTGTTCCGGTCTTACAACTTAGATCTAATAATTCCTTAAATGCGTTTTATCCATTCTATTGGTAAAGAAGCTTATTTGGTGTTGGGCAAAGCATATAATTTCTGTAAAAAGACAAAAGAAATTGCAATTCTAATAATTAAAGTTCACCTCAAGTCTAGAGACTTTTCCTCAGATTATTTTCACTTTTATTCCTCAGCTCTTCATATTTCCCTTTAAGTGTTCATGAAATTCTTCTCAAGTTCCTCTCAGTTCTCTTCAATTTGTTTTCAAGTTTCTATCAAATTATTCTTATGTTCTCGTTGTGTTCCGTATAAATTCCTGTCAAATTCCATTCAAATACCTCTCACCTTCTTACATTCCCTTAACGACCCCTTAAACTCTGCCTCTGAACTTATCTCCTCAAGTTGTCTTAGTTTTGCGTGCTCCCTTGTTAAGCTCGAGACCTCCTCAAAGTCCTCTCTCTACCCATCCTATTTCTAACCCAAGTATTTCGCCAGAACCACCTAACATTTTGTCAAGTTTCATGTTCGTTTCAAATTTCCTTCAAGCTCCTCTTATGCTTCTAGAAGTTTCCAACAAAGTTTCCTTAAGTTCCTCTTAGGATCACTTTCATCAAGTTTTCCATGAGCTTCGTGTTCGCCTCCCCTCAAGTACAAATTAAATTCTACTGCTCAAGTTCCTTTACAGTTTTATTCAGGTTTTTCTCACGTTTACTTTTCAAGCTGTTCTTAGATTCTCCTCAAATTCCATTAAGTTACTTCAAGTTCCCAACACATTTTTCTGAAATTTATCTCAGGTTTATTACTCAAGTTTATCATGTCTCTCTCCCAATCACATTCTTTTGCGATCTTTAGATTCTCTTATACTATGTCCAATGAGAAACGGTGACTACACCACCCACATAAAGAAAGAAATGTAGGCACTCAGGGTCAGATGGCACACACCACGCAACAAGCGATCGATTAAACAAATTAAATTTAAATAAATAATCCTTATCATTCGGTCAAAAATGCGCCTTTCAACAAACAGACGCACTAACACATCACAAACAGCAAGCTGAATGACGCTTCAGAACGTAACTTCTTTGACTTCACTTAAAACTCGATTTAGACGACACTGACGTGGTTCATATTACAATTGTAGTATAGCCCCTTTGATGTGTGGCAAAAAAATCCTTTTAACGGGCATTGGGAAACTTCTTCGTAAACGTAAGACCCAGTTCCGCTTAACTCGACCTTAATAAAACTCTTTTCTGTGTAACGTAATGCACGCTTGGGCTTAACTCGGCTAGACTTTTTTCTACAAAACTTCATAACTGACAGAACTGACTATCTTACAAAAAGCTTCGATACCAGCAAAACTGACTGTTTTGCAACAACTAACGCTCACCAAACAAAAATCTACGATTAACGTCTTCCACGTTTATTTAAAAGAAATTTCCATGTTCACTTCCGAACCTCCTTCCTTAACAAAATACAGCGTCCTTGGCAAGAACACATGCTTATCTTAAAACTAAATAGCTTACTCAGCGATAAGGACTCTTATCACAAACAACACATCACAAACACAATAACAATAAACTTAATCTTTAACACGTAGAACAAACTTTACAATAAAATAAACAAAGTGACTATTTAAACAAGATGAAAAACATTAAATAAGTCCAATACAAAATAAAATTGACCTCGAATTCAGGGTAACCCGTTATACTGTAGGTGCTGAAACCAAACAAAACGTTTGCATCGCGTAATTTCCCTATAACTTTTCTTAATTTCCTGCATAAATTTATTGTTCCGCTTTAAGTGTTCCACAAGTTCTTCCTAATTCAATTTCCTATTACGTTCCCCCTAAATCCTCCGCGAACTCCTATGAAATTCTTCTCAAGTCTTAAACCCACTTCATGCACTCCTCAAACATCTCTCAGTTTCGCATCAGTTAAAGCTCTCGTCTACACGGTGTCCATTTTTCAAGTGCCACTATGAGGATCTCGCTTATCTTAAGAGATCGACATTTGGTTAAATGAGGACAAAGTTGCGAATTTTCGTGTTGAATAATAATCTGAAAAGAAATTTAAAATATCTTCGATAGTTTTGAAAATATCGCAAAAAAAGAAAATTTCTGATTTTCGTTTTTAATTTTTTCATAGTAAACTAATCGTTCTAGACATTTCTAATTAACACATTATTCAGACACTTTTTAATGGAGATTTCGAATATGGCATCCCGTTTTCAATAACTTTTAAGATGACGGAGAAACAGGTGGCAACTTTAATTTTTCTTATGGGCGCCGTTTTGGATTTTGACATTTTGAGATTACGTCTTTTTTTCTCTTTACAACGATATATCACACATGGTGGTTCAGTAACACATTTTTCCTAAAATTACAATTTTAATTTTCTGCGAAGAGTGCTTTGGAAAAACAAAACGTTCTTTTGTTGTGAACAAAAGGTTGACTTATTTCAAGTAGTGTAATTTACGTTTGTGCTAGATTTATTGCGAAAATATTATTTCTTCTTAAGTATTTTGTTCTAATTTGAATTATAATTTTCTTGCAAAACGAAGGTTCAATTATATTCAGATGAAAATCTCAACTCAACTAGTTCCCTGCCAACGCTCTAACCAGACAGATGGATCAAACTGTCATACTTTTGTTCACGATAAAAGAACGTTTTGTTTTTCCAAAGCACTCTTCCCGAAAAATTAAAAAGTGTCTGAATAACGTTTTTTTGCGATATTTTCAAAATTACTAAAGATATTTTTAATTTCTTTTCAGATTATTATTCAGCACGAGAATTCGCAACTTTGCCCCCATTTAACCAACTCTCTATCTCTTCAGGTAAGCGAGATCCCCATAGTGGCACTCGAAAAATGGACACCGTGTATAGCGGTAGTTGCAGATAGATAATTTTACAGTACCTATTTTGCTAGTCGGCGAGCAATTAAGAAAATGAGTGCCACATTTAAATAAACGAGCGTAATATGTTTGGATATTGAAAAACTGAAACTTGTTCATACGTTTTTTCTCCGATATATTTCCTCTGGGCCCTTTCTTTGAAGCTTTTCGGACTTATTGGATTTTTCACAAACATGGAACCCAACTGAAAATGTTTGTGAGACTTTCTACTCTTAATTGGTACCACTGTCATAGTAATATAAATTGATGATATAAGCGTTTTGTTCATAAATTGTTGGATCCTAGTTCCTCTCTAGCCTATCCAGTTGTTCCATCGTCTCTAGTCTCTCTAAATTATAACCCTTCCTTTTTAGTAACCCTAGTCCCTTTAGTCTCTCTAGTAACATTTGACGAGGGGAACGTGAGCAGCTTCAAATGTACAGGGTGTCCCATTAAATGAAGGCCACAGGCCATATCCGTGAAACCGTTAACTGCACAGCTGGGGAAAAAGATTTTGTTAAAAAATCACTATGCGCAGGCTAATATTTAATGCATCCGCAATCCTCTGTGAAATGAAACTTATTACGTATACGAATTCTTATATAACTAAAGTAACCACTCACCTCTCTTACTGGTGCGACTGGTAAAAGTGGACCACCATTATCTCTGGATAATAAAAAATAACGAATAAGATTAGAAATATGTTGCTTACTTTGCCTTGGTAAACCCGATGCCATTTTTGGCTTATACAACTTTTGGCACAGAATATCGCAGTGAGACTGAAGTTATGCTTCTATAACTTGGTCGTTATGCAACTGCCTCAAAAACCTATATATTATGAAATATATTGAACGGTCTCACATAAATACGTAATCCCAAAGTTAATTGCGGGTTAAAATGTTTTTTTTTAATATGTTGGCATTACAATATTCTCCAAGAACCGAATTGCAAACTAAGGATAATCCTATTTTAGCAAAATATCTATAATTTCGATATAAATTACTAATGTGTTATTTAACTGGCCAAATCAATTATTTGTAGGTTTAGGGTTGATTACACCTACTGAGAATAGAAGTCAACGCGCTTGAAGGAACGCTTAACCCAACAAAATGTAAATTTCAACTAAGGTAATCGATCGCCATCATTACAAATATCCCAGTAACTGAAATATTTCGTCCATCAATCATGCTATGCCTCGGCTAAGCTTGCTGAAGTGACCCTCTATGAATGCCAATATTATTTGAAATCACTAATTAATCCTTTTCGAAATCATCTACTATTCATTTTGGATGCGTATTCATCCATTTCATAGCAACCTAATTTCATGACAACAATCGCTCGTTTTATTCCAAACTCATATCCGGTGACAGCGGCGTTTATTTTTTCAACCTTTTCATATGGACCACTGCATTGTTACTACGGAACAAAACAGTTTTGTCGTCAAATCCAAGCTTTACTGCACAAAGATACTTTTTTATACTTTGCCTTTTATTTAAAAAAAAACACAAATATAATTTGCAGCCAACCTGTATAACAGTATGGCATATCAATGGTAATGGACGCATCAAACTTTTCTCTCTCTCGATATATGAATAGTAACTTTAAAAAGCAAAGTTTTGTATATAAGTTTTAAAGTGGAGATACAAATAAAAGGATTTTTACATATACGGCGCGTTGTATACCCAAACGGATACACTCGGATACATAAAACATGAGTCAATAATTTAAATATCACGGTGCCTATTTACTCGCACGTTAGAATTTATTAAAATAGCATCCCCGTGCAATTTGAAAACGGAAAAATGAGCGAATTCTGCTTTCAAAGTTCAGAAAATCCCTTTCTCTTTGTTGTATGCGAAATAACTTTGTCCGAGTGCTTTATTACACAAATGCGAACAATTCGTGAAATCTACTAGAAAATTGCACTTCAAATGCGGCTCGCCAGGTTTTTGCAGGATTATTACGCTTTATGAAATTAAAATTCTACACTAAAGAATAATTTTATTTGTTGAAAAATGGTTGCATGCTAAATAGAAATGTTAAACTTGTACATTGAATTTTTAATATGCCGTAAATTTCAGGTGCGATATTTCAAGAAGGGAACCCCGAAACGGAGGTTGCTTTTAGGTTTGCAATCTCCAGGGTGAACATGTACTCGGGTGAATATCAACTTCAACCGCTCATTCGACGAATTTCAGGAAAAGACAGTTTCGCTACTGGACAAACAGGTATAAAGTTCAAAATTATTTATAATTTTTGTATTTATTGTTCTGCTATACAAACCCACTGTGTTACCTAATAGTGTCCACCTGCACAAAGGACTATAGTAAATATTCCCTATTTCAACAACCCTGATTAATAACGGAAAATCTTCAAAATATACTACCGTTATCATTATCAAAATCAATACTGTAATGTAAATTTAATTACGGGCTTTATTTATTTGTAAATAATTAACAACAAATTTATAACATTCTTCAAAGAATGGAATAACAGTAAACTGTTATAAATAATAAATCACTCACATGTTCACAATTTATATCAGCGCGAATTATTTATTACTTTGGCGTTGAAATTGGAACTGAACTCACACGCGCTATAATTTGCTTATACATTAAATGGAACGTTTATGACAGTACTTTCTCATCAAATTCTCCTTAATTAGTTTTTTTTTCTATTCATTTGCCCTTATACAATTCCTACCCGAATAATATATCTAGTAGCGGAACTTTCAATTATTCCAGTCGGTGCGCATGGGTAAAACTGTTTGGTCGGTGATTCCATGTTGGTTCGTGATTGGGAGTACTTTTCATTCAAATGTCTCAAAAACCTTAGCTATACACTATTAAACCCCTATATCATTTTTAATAATTTGGAGAATATAAATAACCAAAAAAGTATAGGGTGTTATATAATATGGGAAAAAAAATTGCCACGATTAGTGTAAAATGACTAGTTCCATCAATTAAGGTGTGCTGGAAACAGAAATTACTGAATGTATATGATATTCTTTTAAAATAGTATACAATGAAGAGACAAATGTATAATCAAGTCTTTAAAGCACGCGCAATGTGTCTTTAAACGTTGCAAGACCCATTATACACGCGTTTTTTATACTATTTTTTTTTATTATACTTGAAATATAATTTAAAAATAAGGAAAATAAAATAAAATCGTAGTGACGTTTTGCTCGAATGCATGTCGAATTAAGTGGGATGTTTATTTGTAATTGCACGATTGCTATGGAAATGTTATTTAACGTTTGCTTATAAAATTCACCGTCTTTATAAATATAACAGTTTCGGTTGAAAATACACCATCCAATCAATGGCTTGTTGCAAAAGCAGAAGAAAAGTTGGTAAGAGCAAAATCCAAATCCAACAAAGCCTATTAGAAAGAATATGAAAAATTGTGTTCATGGATTAATGGGAAGCCTCTAGGTCTATAACAGTAAAGTAATTCTGCCAATATCATACTTATGTTATTTCAAATCGATCACAAGTAGTCAACTCAAACTTGATTTCATGAAGTCTAACCTTATACTTTTCAATTTCGTTGTTAACTCTTAGTTCTTAACACAAATTTATTCGTAACTGGTTACTTAACTTTTGGAAAATCTCCTTGTCTACGTTGTATTCTTTTCTAGAGTCCTCAATTCCTTCTACTCATTCTCATCTGGACGATCTTCTGGACACTCAGTATATTTACCGATACATTACTGACTGTGTAGTTCAGTGGTAGAGCGTTAGGATACATAGCCGGGAGGTCGGGTGTTCGAACCTAGGCTGAGGTAAGAATTTTTCATCTGTGGTAGAGATGGGAATTTCTTTAGATCAGTTTCGAGCACCTCTAAAAGCAGCAGAGGGAAAATAAATTAATAAATACATAAATAAATAAGTTCCGTATTAGATTCTTGAACTGAACTTCTCGTTCGCTTAGCTTCTGTCTGCACGTTATCCCTTTTTACTTCACAAAATGTGAATGAAGCTCTCTATCAGTAATTATTCTCAATCTACATACGACATATTTTATCATCTTCTACTAAACGAGCTTCTGTGCACTTAATAATAAAAATATATATTCTGTACTGAAAGTCGGGGTAGTAATAGAGGACTTTCATCCGGTCGTATTTATTGTGAAAGGGATGGACAGAATTCATGGACAAGATATGCCCCATTTATCACAATGGGATACTCGCCAGTTCCTCAAGATTAATTGAATTTGCAATTTAACGGCTTGCAATTAAAATCACTATACTTGTAGACAAACCATCGCGAAGAAATCAGTCAATAAAGTTTAGTAAGTAGTTCGCGCTTATTGAAATTCCCATGAACTCCTTCACAAGTAATCGGGAGTTTAAATATTTCGTCTCGTGCAGATGCATCCGACCCTATTAGAGTCGTTTAGAAACTACGATGGCGCATAAAATTTTAAATTCCAGAACATGTTGCCAGGTTTCGCTTACTTGGCTCGTTGTTAGGAAACTAAACTGGCGTTTGCAATATCGGTAAATTACACTTAGTTGTAAATATCTACAAAATCAGATCGAAACTCAACCCTGAAGTGAATAGGAGAACAAACTTTCAACGAAATGATTAAAGAAAAGAGAACTGGGACTTCTAGTAGAACTTTGAATTAGGTTTCGGTTTAATAAACCGAAAAGTCTTTGTGATACATTTGAGAAATTTGCTATCCGCTGACATGTCTAAAAATATGAACCGAGTTTAAGATTTTGTTGGGCGAATTACTTATTAGGTATTTTCTAAAATTGCGTTTTTTACACCAATACTCTATACTGCTTCCATGATGCATTTCAACCGACTTTTGTGTAGAGAGTTATAGAAAAACCATGCGTGAAAACTGTTGCCTGAAGGCATTGTGCTTCATATTTGAGAAAGCGTACGAAACGATGTCAAAGCCTCGAAGGAATCTTTTATCAAAACATAGGAATTCGGTTTCGTGAACAGTTTAATTGTTGAATTTTCAGATAATTATCATTGTTCGAAACATGGCATTATTTCTAAAACAAGTCAGTTTAGCAACGATGAACTTCACTAAAACTATATGCCGCCGACTACAAACACTCATTACACCTACGGTGCGATTCTCGCGCGTAACGGAGCGTCCAATATACAGAAAATCATTTTTTCCAAAACTACCATGTGCACTCAAACGTTATCGCGAACCCCATTCCACTTTCTTAATACCTTATACTAATTTCACCGTACTTTTGTCAATTATTTCCTTATTTAAAATTCATTTGCTTTAAATACACAAACATACAACAAGAATTTTGCTTTTGTCTAATAATGACCTAAATTTCTCATAGAACATAAAATCGCAAACTGAAAATAATGCATGATATCACAGCAGTTTCTATGCTTCGTCTGAATAAAGTGATAAAAAAATTAATATAGCACTAAGGGTTGTACAATATACACCCAAGCAAACTTACACAAGGTAAATTCCGTCGGGGATGATCTTATAATCGCGTGACGTAGTGATTGCGCTCACCGATGCTATTTGGGAGGATGTGGGGTCGAATCACTGCTCTGTCAGGGGTGTTGTTAGGGGTTTTTCCTCAGCGATACGTAGCTTCGCATAATGCTACCATTATGGAACAGTACTCTCTCAGCACTCGATTAGTGTAACCAATGCCCTTTTTGGAGGAATTATCAGAGGGTGTTTTTCTTGTGTCGACATGGAGACTGAATGCGTTAATCTGCCCCATTGCAACCAGGAATGGACTGGGTGTATTATGATTGAGCGTTTGTTTGGTTCCTGTTAACAGCTTGGCCGCCATTACTACTCCACAGAGCTCCAATCTCGGTAGGGTTTTCCTCAATTTTATCGAGGCCACCTCAGATTTTCCCGTTAACCTGTACGTTTCTATTGGCCCATTTCCACACAAATCTTCTTACAGTTTTGGGCCAGTTAGCATCATCTCGTTCTGCCGTTTTCCTGACCTGGAAGTGATTGGAGACGTCAAACTCGTACTGTTGTGGTGGAGCTTTCCTCTTTTAACACCGCATTGTGAAGAATGTAGTATTTTTCAGGTGCCTCCCCTGCGTTTCGAGGTATCATATGTCTCAGCTCTTCATGATTTCGCCGGAAACCCTTGCACCTGGATTCCATCTGTAAAAGGCGGGCAGTGGCCTTTTTCAATTCCTCAGCTTTTGCTTTCAGCAGAAGGCTTATTGTTAATCTTCCTGCGGTAGGGTTGCCTCTTGGTTTTGAATTTCTTCAATTTCCCAAAATTTTATCAGCGAGAACTCGTTCTCCATCCTATCTCGCGACCATTGTCTTCCATGAAACAATCCAACCCATATCCGTATTTTTCCTTGGCTTGTAGATAAATGGAAGTATCATAATTAGGTGAACTGCGTCCTTTGCAATTATGTGATTGGCCCCTAAAATATCAGATAATTCACTAGTTGCCATAATATCTTCTTGGACTTTTTTAATGGCGTCCAGAGCTTGGAAATCTCCATCTTTATATAATCCCAATAGCTGTTGCAAATCCAGTTCTCCCCCTGTGTTATGGATAAGTCTCGTAAGCCAATCCAATTTCAATTGATGCCTGCGAAATTAGGAGTGCGGGTGGCTCAGGCTGGGTAGGAAAGGTATTTCTTCGAAACCTCGTCTTCCAGGTATCGTGGCGACATTAAAACCTTCGTTGGGGACGTTATCTCGTTTGGACTCGCCGGAGCTGTCGTTAACAGGGCAAAGTGTGGGCGCTTGTAAACCTTCTTGGCGTAGTACGTTTCTGGCTCTTGTTTCAGGTCCATGATCTGTAAGTGAAATTGTTTGAACCTTGCGAGCTAGAACCGCCCCGTGGTCAGTTTTTTCATCTCCATACTTGCTATTTTGTGCAAAATCATCAAAATGTAGCACTTCACTGAGACCAAAACACTTATGGTAACGCGGCGCCAATTCGTTAAAACGTTCGAAGAACAAGCTTATTCGGCTCGAAGGACCAAATGTAGCACTAAGGTTCTAAGGCCTAATGTGCACCCAAACAAACTTAGACAAAGTAAATCCGGGCGGGAGTTACCTTATAATTCAAACCCGGTACGTTGTCGAAAGTTAGAACGTTTGATTAATGTTTACTCAGATCTATTAAAGTCTATTTATATCACAGATATTACTTCCTTAACCTACTTTAATTCCGCGAATATCCACGCTACTTCGTCAACCTAGTCAAGAATGCGCCTAGTATTATTTTACTACCTGTGCATTTTACTTCTCAGTAGAAAAATAGTACACACATTTCCGTTTTAATCTGCAATTTCCTGTTATTCTTAACGGCTATACTTACTCCTTACTTTTGGTGACTATAACAATCCTAGCACTTGTATACGGGTAAAGTACTAAACGCAAGCAAGTTCTTAAAAACCTGTCTTTTTTTACGACAAATGTAACATTTGTATTTAGTGAAAGTCGCAACTACGGTACTGGGAATAGATCCCACCTCTACAAGGCATGCAAAATAATTTCGTTCCAGCTTCAGTTTACCCATGTTCCGCAGTATGGAGATGTCCAATATTACCCATATAACATAAGGCTTGCAGCAAACGAAAACACAAATTAATTGTCTATAACCTTTTTACCCGTTGGTGATTTATTTATAATGTTATTAATAGATTGCATAAACAAATTAAGTGTCCAACTTTGGTTAATGAACTTATTAACGTAACTTTCCACCCCCAAAATAGTCCAGGCAATACAGAACATATGAGGACCTTAGCTTGCAAAATTAATGGTAGTTCTGGAAATAGGCTCACTTTATGTTTTTTGGGTTGCTGAATCAAAATTTTTAACTTTCCACCAAAAATTCCCTCCGCAACCCCCCCAAATCTTGAAAAATAAGAAAAAAAATATGTTTTTTTAAGAAATCGTATTTTGTGATTTCACAAATAAAATACCTACAAATTTGAAATGTAGATATAGTATGCAACCAAAAACGTCCTAAAAGATTTTTACGTACTACGCACGTAGGGGGCGCTGGCGTGCGTTGAAGTATGCTCATTAGCGACTCGGGCGCACTTCGCTTAACAACCCACGGCGTTCGTGTTCGCTCGCCCTTCACCCGCTTTATCTTTCGCGTTAACCCCCTCCCTCCTTTAATTTCTCTTATTTTTTAACATCTGGAGGTCAACCCTCAACCTCCAACTTTTCTCCACCTATTTTCAGACAAGTTCAGAATTAAAAACACATCTACATATTTAACAAATATAGACTTTTATTACTAAATTAAATTAAATTATTTAAAAAAAAGTTTAAATTATCTACTCTTTTCCGTTTAACTGCAGCTGAGGGCCCACAGCTAGGTTCATGCGCGAAAAAGGTTTCATTGGTTTCAATGGCCCGTGTTTAAAGTAGATTGACTGATACAAAGAAAGACAAAAACGGAAGTTTAGAAAAACGACTAATCTGACAATTCTTCCGTTTTTTCGGACCATCAAATTTACGTGATTTCTCCAAAATAATCTCATCAGCTTGATGTACCACCTTTTCAAATAACAGTTGAAGTTCCTCTGCTTTAGATTAGTTTTAGAATTTTGGTGGAGCGGAAGGTTTCAAGGTAGTGACAGGAGATAGTTCGTAGCTAGTACTTTTCCAGCACCATTTTTGTGGTCCACATTTTCTAGCCAAAGTTGTACATGACGGTACGTACCCTGAATGAGTGTTCAGTTGGAGGCAAAGAGCCTATATTGTGTTTTACAGGTAAGCTAAGAATTTGGTAAACCGTGACCAAAAATCGCAGGCATAAAGTCACAGCCGCTGAAAGCGTGTAAGCCACCATATGTTTCCTTTAAGACCAAAGGATGGGTAGATCTGTTGTGAAACTTTGGCTTTGCCGGGTTTCATGAAGTAAATATTGGCTGATTGAGGAAGTGCAATTAATAGTAGAAGTAATAAATCTATATCTACGCCGACAAGAATCATCGATGGATGAATTGATGCCATACGATGAGACAGTCTGCGTTTTCGTCAGCTTGTCGCACTGTCGACTTCCTTTTAATATAATGTAAAATAATGTCAATGAGGAGATGTTTATTTCTGCTGTTAGATATAAAACTTGCCTGGCCAACAAGGAGTCATACATTTATGTCAACTGATGACTGCTTTCTTTCTCTTCGCAATATTTCTGCGCTTTTCAGGGGAGGGGATGAACAAACAAATTGAAAATGACAGTCAGCGATAAATAAGCAAGGTGGCGAAAACCACGCAGTTATCGTCTAATGTCCCGGCGTGCGTACGGGACCAAGGCGCATGATCTAAGACGTGCTAACGCCCTACCCACTCGCCTTACGTCAAAATATCGTATGATCTTTATGTCGCAAATTTGGTCTACTTTCCAAATTCCCAGATAGTTTTTCTCTGAAATACACAAAATAACGATTTTTAAAAAAAAGGCGATATTTTTTCTTTTTTTCAAAATTTGGGGGGTTGTGGGAGGAATTTTTGGTGGGAAGTTGAAAATTCAGATTCATAGACACAGAAAACATAAAAAAAAGCCTATATCCAGAACTACCATTATTTTTGCATCCCAAAATTACATATTTCCTGGACTAAAAATAGCGCAACGAAATGCGTGCATCTTGAATCCGAACACTTTCGTGGTGACAATTTATTTAAGCGCGACCACAATAATCCAATGATGCACCAAAACGGAAATGTTAATTCACGTATTAATACGATAACACTTCGCATATTTCCCAGTTACTACACGAAGAAGTTCCCCGAAGTCACTTTATATTAGATAACTCGTAATGGCAACTCGTAACGAATTTAAGGTGCACACAGCAATAAATTTTGTCGAATTTTCGGCACGATTTTCACTTAAATCTGATGAAAAACTTCAACTTTTGCAATACAATATCACATACGACTATGCGGGTGACAAGTCTTTTCGTATAACTTGTTTATACGAACTCGTCTTGAACCGTTCCGTTGAAAAACAAAAGTTATGCGATCTAAAGTGTCGCGTTTAGGTTGCCTGGAAGGTATGGCTGTGAATGCCGCTCTCCCACCAAGTTTTTCATAGTCTATTCGCCCATGTAACAAATCGAAAGAGACCCCCAAACAACCAGGCTTCGGTTGCGTTTTTTCAACATGGGTGGATATAGTGGAGATTACCCCTCGCATGCTCTGTCGCAACTGTTTTTAGAACCGGCAACTCTGTAACGTTTCGACTCTTATCTGCTTCAACACTCGTCCGTATCTTAACGCGCTTTATTTTCTCGAATGTTAGTTCTGTTAAAAATCCCAAAATCCCTCATTAAACTTAATCGTCTTGTTAGTTTTTGGACTGCCGATATCACTGTTTCGTCCACGTTGAATAACCTAAGGGCTAATTTATACCTATCCAGTAATGGTTCCAAATTCCTGAGTAACGTCTGAACAAATTCTTTGTTGAACGCTGTAATTTGGTTTATACTGATGCCTTCGCGTTTTCTCAAGCTTAATGTGGGGTTCCTCTTCATAAATGACTAAAACAGCACTTACTCTGATATTTAGGCTTCAATAATATAGCATTCCTAATTTCTCATCTTCCTTCTATCATTGCCATAGTTACTTTTTCTTACACGGGTCAGTGAGGCATACATGCCTTGTGTAGCAGAACCTGATGGTAACGAAGGAAATTTTCAAGAACTTCCGTGACACTGTAGCACATAGTGAATCGATTTGCGACCCATATCTCTCCTACTCTAGATCTACAATTGCATCTGGCCGCAGGTGGTGCGCTACAGTAAGTAGGACATATCAATAAGTAAACCATTCTTGTTCCCACTATAACACTAAAAGCATTGAAAATGAGAAACGACTGAATAAGGTTGTGAAATTGCTATTCTTGAATTTTTGGGAAATCCTAATACCTACTACGTAAAAATACATACACGAGTACAATGAATATAAACAACCATCCGCAGTGCGGCAGATTGGCCACAAATGCAAAGAACAAAGTAATTATGACGCACTGTTGCTCTTATCGTTCGCATAACACTCCCTCGCTTAAATGATAGAGATGCGTAACTGTTCTTTTACAGTATTTGTTAGTAGAATCTGATTTAGATTAAAGTAATACCTACCTTATTTCATTATAAGACTGCCACCGATTTAATTTTCTTCCTATACCTTTGTAATCCGTTAGAAGCCCCAAAACATGCCTTGTCCTAACTTATTTCGTCTAATTTCTCTAGAGACCTTAGAAGCTTTATACTTCAAACGTGACATATCTAATATATATTGTGCTGGAACGTCCAATATTCCTTTTTCCAAAACGCTTCACTCACCCATCATATGCTATAACCTTGCAATGTAAAACTAATCACGCCTTTCATATTTCCAGTGTGCGAGTTAGTTGGAAAAGGAGTAGCAGCGATATTCGGCCCCGACACCGCCAGCACAAATGAAATTATCGAGTCCGTCGCAAAGAATCTCGAAATTCCGCAATTTCAAGTGTTCTGGAACCCGAAAGTGGAACAATTTTCCGCTGAAAATGAATACAAAGATAATTTAATATTCAATCTATTTCCCGACCCTCATATGTTAGCAACAGCTTTTGCCACCCTCTTAAACGAAATGAAATGGAAGAAATATGCCGTTCTGTACGAAACTGACGAAGGTTTGATTAGGCTGCAAGAAATTCTCAAACAGCACGGACCGCAAGATCCATCCGTTATCGTTAGGAAGTTGGCAGCCGGATCTGATCATAGGTATGTTATCTTTATATTGAAACCTCCTTATTTCGTTTTCATGCCATACGGTGTACGTTCAGCGCAGGAAATTGTAAATGGGGGATGTCAGATGATGTAAAGAAACCCATTGCATTTACCTTCCTTAATACTTAGTCTATTCCGCTGCTGTTTTCTGCGTGTTGTGCCCCAATTATGGTATATAATCTTACAGCAGCTACTTGAAAATTAAATTTTTCACAAAATCTAAAACCCGTCATTCATTAGCGGATTGGTTTGCCACCGGCGTCAAGTTAGCCCCCCACTTTTGGAATTTTTGGAAAATTTTATTGAAATCGTTATATTCAAATTAATTGATATGACAGGCATCTTCATTTGTTGTAGGTAGTTATTTTGGTTGCATAAAGTTAAGGCGTCCTTCAGAATATCATTTAAAAGTAGACATAGGAAATTCCTATAAGAAATCCTAATGTCTACCTCTACATGAATATCACTGTATGTAACCATATATGTATGTACAGTCCAAGGAATATAGACAAAAAATTTTTTTGTGGCTAGCACATGTACCACTCGTACACCCTGCGTACGTGCGTTCTGCGCAAGAGCTGTCTAAGAATGTGTGTACCAAATTTGGCTCCAATCGGTTCTGCCGTCCAGCTGGAAATGAAAATTTCCCAACTCGCGCATGCGCGATTCTTTTCAAGAGCTTTTCAATTCTTCCTTTTATGTCTAAGAATATGGATACCAAATTTGGTTCCAATCAGTTCAGCCGTTTAGGTGGAAATGAGAGTACAGACGGACCGACAGACAGTCCTACAACCCCACAGACCGACATCATTGAGATTTTGTTTGATGTGAATTCCTGGTGCTTCAAAATGCTTAGTTCTGCCGGAAAACCGATTTTTAAAGTGGGGGTGCTGACTTGAAATCAAGTTATTTCAAGTTAGCACTTGCAATCAAGTCACCCCCACTTTTCCCGCTTGAAATTTTATTAGTTGCATGAAAAACTATGAATTAAAGACCAATTTGCACCGAAATTAGATCTTCATTGTTTAAAAAATTTATGGATTATTTAAACATTTTTTTTACTAAAAAAGGACCATTCTCAGAATTAATAAAAATTAATGGAATGTATAAATTAAAGACTAATATGTACCCACAACATTAGAATTTGTACCTGCTTAGTTCTAATCCAGACCAGAAGACCCTGTATGCAATGTGGTGTATAGGACATCACCCATTTTTTTCTTGAAGAAGACCATTACGACTTCAAAAAAGATTGGGTGGCCGTTCCAACTCGTGGTAGGTTTTGAGTTATGACGTCATATGCATTAAATATTCGCGGTTTCATCCCAGCAAGTTGCATATCAAATGAAAGGTGTTTATTAAAACTAATCAAATATAATCTAATATTATATTTAGTTGTTGTCACTGGCTCGAGATATAACGTCATTATGATCACTTCACCACTTTTATGAGGTTGGCTCCTAAACGAAGCATGTGGGACCCTCAATTTATTTGGAAAAAGTGCTTGTTTTGATCCCCTCTACCACCCAATTTTTTTACATACATATATGTAACGCCCTGTATATACGACGCAACTAGTAAATTTTATAACGTTTCAGTTTGTTGAAAAACACAATATTTAAAGATTTTGAGTTTTCATCGGGGGCTACAAGCGACTACACTGAATCGAATGACGTTAACGAATTTTTTTACGTAGTTTTTTTTCCCCCGAAATCCATGTAGTTACTTTTATTTGGAACACCCCGTATACAGCTAGAAAATCGATTTTTTTTCCATAATTTGGGTGGTACGGATAATATTTCGAGATGTTTTAAAGCAATTTATTTTTCTTGGGAGGTTTCAACTTCAGTATTAAACAGCTTCTGATAAACATAACTAATAACTTCGAACTGATTCGAAAGTTCGAAACACAATTCGATTTGCTTATATAGCAAACGCCGGTCTTTTTCGAAAGTTCGCGAACGCTTCCGAATGCTCCGAATATTTTAGACTGTTCTCAAACAAACAAACACGCCATATTTCTCGGAAAAATGCGGCACATCCGCTTGATTGTGGAGATTCAGTCCTCTAGATGCATATTTAATTATTTATGCGTTGACTCATTTAATAAGTTACGAGGATTTTTTGTTCGAAAATAGGAGTACCTATATATAGCCCGAGAGATTAACGACAGATTTTGTGCGATGATTTTTAAACGTCTGTCACCGCAATTTTCTCTTTACATAGGCTAGAACTAGCGTATAAACGTATATCATATGTCTGTTGAGCGGTTCGTTCTTTTTTTTGTAATTTTTCAAATTTTGTTTAAATAATGTATAAATTGTTTAAACAATGAAATTCTAATTTGGGTACAAATTAGTTTTTAATTCATAGTTTTTGATGCAACTAAAAAATTTTAATCGGGAAATCTGGGGGTGCTAACTTGATTTCAAGTTAGCACCCCCACTTTAAGAATCGGTTTCGGCAGAACTAAGCAGGTACAAATTCTAATTTTCTGGGTACAAATTAGCCTTTAATTGGTCATAAATTATGGGCATATTTTTACTTCATTTAGGCAAAGTGGGGGTGCCAACTTTATCGACCTCACGCAATGAATTTCCCGCGAGGATCCACACTAGATTAAAAGCTTTTAAGAATCAAAATGCAGATATTAAAATTCTTTCAACTCGTTTAAACGAAACAGCAAAAAGCATTCACAGCCCCTCAGAGTCCGACATCAAATTAAGTGGGCAGGGTTGGCTCAAGGTTTGTTCCTTTTATTTCATTGTTGGTAACTTGAATAGCATCTATATATTTTATTAAACAATAGCCGATAACAACACATACAAAATGGTCCACAAAAGGAAAATAGGATTGAATTAATTCAAATCTCACCGTATCTGGGTGCTTCTTTATTTTGCGCAAGTGAAAAGAGACGCTGTGCGTAAAACCTCGCTCATAGAAAGTGGATTTCCCTTGTGAAAATGTTACCTATACATTGAACTCATTTTACTCCAGCAAAATTAATTTCCAGATACCTGGTAAGCAATTTATTGTACCTTAACTCTTTTGTCGTCATCGTACATACATTTGCGTGCTTACAGTATCGAAAATGTCCTATGCCTTAATATAAAATTTGTTTATTGCAGTTAATTCGCGTTTCAAATTTTGTTTACATATTCATAGGATGGCTTCGTACATATACAGTATATAATGAAACCCGGGAAATTTCCAGATTATTTTATTTAGCCAGAAGAATATATACCTACGAAAGAAAGTAATCCCCCCTGAAGCGAGCGTTAAATAAGTTTAAAGCTGTGTAAGGTAAATTGTTTATATATTATGAAACAGCTAAATACCTACGTTCGCTAAATCCAACGCACCCTGTTAGTTAAAAATTAATGGGGGAAGTTAAATCTAACCCGCGTCCCAAATTACAAGCGCGTCAAATATCATTTTTAACATTAAAGGACTTTCGGCTTTAGGGATTAGTAATAAATTGAACGCGATTACCTGAACGGAAGTAAATTGCATAACTCAGTCTAGCATATCGTCTGATGGAATCTCTCGAAAAGCGTTTAAATGAGAGAACCCTAGGCTAGACAACATGAAAGGAGTTCTACACATTTCCTTCATTTAATTTATCGATGCCCCCATTTCCAATCTGAGTTTTAAGATAAAGGATATCTTAATGTCTTATTTTTCCTTAGATTCCGTTCTGTATTGGGGAGTTATCTTTGTAAACAAGCAGGCAGGTTTACTTCCTTCATTAAAAATTGAATGAGGAATAAAGTCATAGTAAAGCTTTGAAGATGCACGATCCACTATCAAATTTAAAACGTTTGATGGCTCTAATGAGAGTTTTTCCTCAGACTATTTTATAAGTTTTATTTCCTGGAGAAATTAATTAAGGATTTTCGCTAAAGATGAAATAGTGCGGTCAAAGAAAACTCGAGTCCCACTGGCGATATTTTATTACAAGCACTTATAATGCTAATAGTATAAGGTCTCTAAATGGTGAAATATCACCTTTTTCGTTATTTGTGCGGAAGATCAACTTTAAGAAGTCTGATATATTATTGAAATGAATGTTTCTTTTATATGTTAAACAATCTAATGATCTTAGTCTACTTGTCTCTTGTAATTGCGACCTATGTCTAGTAATTTTAAATTACATCTTGTAACTCTGGAAATTTCTATACCTTATTGTACTGATGAAATGATAATTGGAATAAGAAATAATAATCGAATATGTTTTTCCACATTGATTTGCTATATGGGAAACAAAGATCTTTTTTTCTTGCTCGCAAGAACGTACCATCATCGTCGTCTATAAGGAGTTATTTTCAACGGAAAAAGCAAGCAAGTGCAAAGATTTTTTGAACATTTGGAATTTCTTGATATTTTTTTTACTGTTGTATCAATTCTGACATACGCAATTAACATGGGAAAAAGGTTTTTTGCAGATTGTTGTTCCCATGTGAACTTAGAGGGTGTATAATGACATCAGTCGAAAGAAAATTTTTTCTCATCTGAAGTTATGTGAATTTGTTCATTTTTAGTTGTATTTCTCATAATTTTATCATAAATTTGCAATAAATCAATTGAACATTTTATAAAGAATTGTTGCCATAAACTGCAAAAAATAATAGTTAGGGAGCTACCGAAAACCCATAAAAAACTGCAAATTGCTTCCCAAGAAAATCGGTGCATAAATAAAGATTTTGATATTTTTGGGCCAAAAATCCACTGACCGAGCAATCCAGTTTGATCTTTTCCCAACAAAATTAGTGAATAAATAACTATTTTGACGGATTTAGGGCAACAAAGTGACGAATATGCCAAAGTTAATTTTTGATAGTTGCGCACCTGGAACCCATGGAAGCTTTCATATAGTGAAAAGTCGCTACAATGAACAAGGCACTGAGCTATAGAACGGAACGACAGACAGACGGAAGGAAATGTGAAGACATTAGCGCTCCACTTCCATGGGTTGCGCTAAAAACGAAGTTCTT